CATTTCCATATTAGCCATTTATTGAAAGGCCGAGCATGGACTAGTCTAAGCGATCCCTAAACATCCGACTCCTGTATTCGATTCAGTCGGTCAGCATCTCTGCAACGTTGGAGCCCATCCAACGTCAACAGGGCGGCCAAATAAATGTGTCACGTGCACGACTCCCAAATCGAGTATTGGGTTGCGGTTGTCACACCGGTATAAACACATTTGTTGATTCACTAGAATACTTAGGCCACCACAGCGACTCGCTATCTCAGCCAAGTCCCCTAATCGTAACGGGCGAGACGCGATCTGTTGGACGTGCAACCACGTTTGACCCCTTTATCTAAATTCCCCTATCGTTTGTCAACAACCGACCTCTGGAATGTTTCCTTTATAACTTTTGGTTATTTACCGGTTTCATGATTTTTGACTTTTTGCCCTAGGAAATTTCCGTTTTTCGTCGTAAAGATTTCGCCTCAATGTCCGCGCAATTGCGAGACAGTCTCGCTCCAGTCGATGAAAAAGAATTAGTGTTTTTCGTCGAAGGCAACTCCACAATCGAGGTATGCAATCATTGAGGATGACGAATACAATACCGAATCCTTTAGCGTAAAACTGTAGGTGCCGCCCGAACTATCATTGGCCATTATTTGCACTCCAGGGGTTATTCAACTTTGTCTTAACCAACCTTCACCACAGGTCTACCCATCTACAAACCGGGATTCTACTTTCTGTGGGTAGAGAACTTTCCTCTGTTTTCCCGAAACGCTGAGGGTAAGTGGCATTCGCGGGCGTTAAACGCTGTTTCCCATCCACAATTACCTTGCATCACAGTAATTAATACTAACATGTAGTGCCCGGCTCCGGTGATAAGTTATTTGTAGAGACCATCAAGACACTACTGTGCTGCATTTTTAGGTTAGTTCGAATTTGCCGCCACTCTATCCCTGTCAGTCCGTGGGACGTCTGCAGTAGTTTGTGCTTGTGCGTTGTCAGCCCATCGAAACTAGATGATAGCCTGACTACTGTAGGTTAGAATTTCCTTGAGATACCTCAACAAAGTTTTCTCT